GCGCCGCCACGCTGGCCGCGGTGCTGCGCCGCATCAAGGAGAACAAAGGCGTCGACCGGCTCCGCTCCACCGTCGGCGTGGACGGCTCCGTGTACAAGAAGCACCCCCAGTAAGCCAGAGGGCCGGCTCCGGGTGCAGGCGGGAGGAAAGGGCTGAAAGCAACCCAGTCCCAGAACATTTAAAGGGCGGGGCGCCCAGTAAAGTCAGCGAGAGCCCTGTATGTTGTTTACAACCCAAATCAGTAGTGTGCCAGTAGGGGCAGGAACAAAGTAGCTTTTCATGGACCCCTGAGCGGGTGCGTGGTTTCTAATAAGAGTCTAAGTTTGTGTTGGGACTGAAGAGCATGAGGCCTGGGAATTGGACCCTCATAGGGTTCTAATCTGACAGGCCGTGTAGGCCTGTGAATTCAGACCTAGGAGCTTGGAGACCCGGGTTCTAATCCCAGCTCGGCTAGGGCACTGGGACATCTCTTCCCCAGCTTGCTGGCCAGCTTGAGGTGTCACCAGTACAGACTGAACCTCTCTAGTCCAGCACTCTGGGACCTGACCAGTGGCAAACAAGAGAATTTGCTGGACCCCAGAAGGTCGATATTGTCTAGCAGTATGACCATCGCTGCCATAGCTCACTGGGCTGATGGGGGTCAATTAGAGCTAAATACCAGCACAGGACACTGAGAGCTGTAAAACTTCAGGGGACTGCAGGAAACTTGGCCACACCCATAAAAAGTAGGAACCCGGCTAAAACCATGACGGACCATGGATGTTGCCGGACCAGAGAGGTTGTTCAACCTGTATTAATATTGGTAAAAATGAGCTGAGAGGGCTGAGTGAAAGGGCTTTGCAGGCTGGCATGGAAGACATTCAAGAGCTGCAGGAAGGGACTTTCAGAAGCTTGCCCATCACTGGATAAGCTCTTGTAAGGCGATGGACCTAAATCAGGCCTAGCTTTGCATAAGGCTGGGTGGGTTATCGACAACAGGGATTGAACCTGGGACCCGTGGCTCTAAAAGCACAAGCCTCTCTTAGCTGTCGGTGTCCATCTGCTGGCTAGTCACCAGGAGAGGGGCGCACAGCACCACGCGGAGGGGGTGACGCTCCCTCCCACCTCTGTCCTGTGCAGTTTTGCTCGACGCCTTCACAAGACGGTGCGGAAGCTGCTGCCAGACTGTGACATCAGGTTTGTTCGGTCGGAAGACGGGAGCGGCAAAGGGGCGGCTATGGTCACAGCGGTGGCCTACCGGCTGGCGGCCCAACATAAAGCCCGGCAGAAGACCCTGGAAGCCCTGAAGCTGAGCCATGAGCAGCTGCTGGCGGTGAAGGACAGGATGAGGCTGGAGATGGAGAGAGGGTTGTGCAAAGAATCGCACCCGGACGCTACGGTGAAAATGCTGCCCACTTACGTGTGCTCCACTCCGGATGGAACAGGTAACGTAACGGGGTGAACCCTCCTGCCCCCTGCTGGATAGAACATCGGGGCCAGAACCTTCAGTCTGAGCTCCCTTGTGTTTCAGGGCTTGGATCTGCTGCCTAATCATTCAGACACCATCTCCCATGCTGGCGCTAGGCCTTAACAAGAGTAGGGGGATTCTCGGGGGACTAGTCGCCCTATATTTTTTGGATTCGTTGCACTTCCGATTTGCCCATGCAGTTGGGTTTCCAATGCACACGTGGAAGCAAAGAAAGCTCGTGGACGGCTTTTGACGTGTCTAGGGCACCGGACTAGGCCGTGGCTCACCTGGGTTCTACTCCTGTCACCCCTGGTGTGGGGTCACATTACCGCTCTGTGCCCGTTTCCCCTCCCACCCCTTCTCTGGCTTGTCCACGTGGATTGTGAACTCTGTCCGCGCAGCCTCTAGCCCAGCGAAGCTCGTTCGCCTGTTTAACTCCTGTTTCCATGGGTCCCTGCGGGGTCGAAATTAACCCTTCCATTTCCAGAACTGTGGTTGCACCCCTTGATCGCTGGGCTGGCTGGGTCTTGGGGCCATCGGGCCACGTAATTGTCGGGAGGCATCTGGGGATCGTGTTGTAGCTGCCTATGTTTGGGTTTCAGAAAAAGGAGACTTCCTGGCTTTGGATCTTGGGGGCACGAATTTCCGTGTGCTGCTGGTGCGTGTGCGGAGCGGCATTCGGCGTGGCGTTGAGATGCACAATAAGATCTACTCCATCCCGCAGGAGGTCATGCAGGGGACAGGAGAGGAGGTGAGCAAAGGCCAGCTCGAAAGGAGACGAGGCGGTGTCTCGCCTGGAGTGGTCTTGTGATTAAGGTACCGGGTGGGAGCTAGAGGACTTGGGTTCTAAGCTATGGCTGTTTGTTCCCTTGTCCAAACTCTTCCTCTTCCGTGCCTCAGTCTTCAAAATGGGGTCAGATTCAAATGCTGCCCAGGTGATTAGCAGAGTGCCCCCAGCCGGCAGCATGTGTTTGTACTGGTGGTGCACATCCACCCGTGCCTCGGTGTACACAACAACGTTTATTCCACACACTGATGGAAAAAAATTCGAGGGAACATTGCCATGGAACCATCAAAACCATTTCATCCTGCTGCCGTCATGATGGAACCATAAAAACCATTTCATCCTGCTGCCGTCATGCTCGCCATCCACCAATCACTTCACAAAGGCAGGTGAAGATCACAGTCTATGGGTAGGGAAACTGAGGCACAGGTGTTGAGTGACTTCCCAGAGTCACATGGTGACGTCAGTAGAATTCTGCAAACTATTTTGGAGGCAGTGCTATTCCTCAAAAGCTGCGCTGGAGCAGAGCATACTGGGCTAGCTTTACTTGCCATTTGTCCCATGACAGAGGAAGTGGAAAGAAGCAGCTGTTATGAATGATAAACAAGGGGCCAAGGTACCTCCGTAGTGTGGTGAGGAGAGGGGGCACGGGGTGTCATGTGACGTATGACACATGGAAGAGGATGAGTTTTGGGGTGGCAGTTTGGCTGGGAACGCAGCTGGTTAAGAGACAGAAGAAATAAGCCTTGCTAATATTCCACAGCCAGTAAGAACAAAACCATAGGCCCATATTCACTGTGGTGGAGCAGCCCCCGCCTTCAGCATGCTCTGAGTGTGTGACGCCCCCGTGGCTCTGTCAATCCTTCCTTGCCCATTTCTCCTCTCACAAGGCCGCCTTCTGAGAAATCAGGCTTTTCTAGCTGCCAGTCAGACCCCTCATGCTCTTGCTTTGTCCCTGGAACGTAATAAATAGCCCCATCGCCTGAATCTGAAAAACAAGGGAAACTAGAGTCCACCAAAAGGAGATTTCTCACCACTTCCCTTCCCCCAGCCACAGATGCATTGGAATGACCCATTGAAGTATTAACCCCTGTACCACTCACTGGAGAGTAAATCACAGATGTGTGAGCCACGAATGCTGGGAAACCAGCGAGGTCTGCATTCCTTGCTGTGGTAACCCCACGGCCCTTGGTAGAGTTAAGGCAGCAGAGAATTTAGCTCAGCAGTAAGTGAACGAAGAGGGGAGCAAAGAAGAATTCTCTTCCTGGCTGAAATTGCAGAGGCAGATTTCAGTGAGATGCTTGAATGTAGGCTGAAAAATCTCGAGTGCTGTGCGCTATCGTCATGTCAGTTTAACCCAGTGGGCATAAATAGCTGGGCTGGTGGAAGGAAGAGTCCATAGACCTACCTGTGGTCACTCAGGGAGGTGAAGGTCCTACAGCAGCAACAACAACAACAAACCTTCTGTTGTATCATCTGGATCTACGCTCCAGGGCTGCATCTATATTGCGCATTATTGTGCAAGAAGATATGCAAATGAGGTGTGGCGATGAATATAGCTGCGCCTCATTTGCATACCTAATGAGCCGCCATTTTTGCGCAAGAGGCGCAAGAGGGGGGTTTTGCGCAAGAAGGAGCAGTGTAGACGGCTCCTTGTGCAAAAGCCCCTTGCGCAAAATGGTGGCTCATTAGGTATGCAAATGAGGCACAGCGATATTAATCGCTGTGCCTCATTTGCATATCGTCTTGTGCAAAAATGTGCAATGTAGACATAGCCTAGGGGTCACAGAGGCATAGTTGTAGGTAACTGAGCAAACACCCCTTAATGCTGTAGTGTTGCTCTGGGCTGGTGTAACAGCTGCGGGCTTCCATCTCAGAGGTGGCTGCATTTCAGTGTGGGGCAAAAACACTGCTCCTTTCGTGATGTGTCAAACTCCTCATCGGAGAGATGGAGCATCCTCAATACTCAGTGTCGGCGAGCGTGAAGAGTGATCTCAGCGTCGCAGATCTGCCCCAGTTCATAGGCTGATCAATTCCAAGGCCTGGAGATCATCTGCTCTGACCGCCTGCATCACATAGGCCAAAGAACCGGGCGTAATAACTCTGCGGCAAGCCCAGGTTTGAGCAAGAGCAGGCCTGCACAACTCAGAAAGCGACGAGGGCCATATTACTCCAAAGAAAACAGCTGCGGGCCGCAAGTAGGGATGCTCTCCCAAAAAATACCAAACACACGGCTAAAAATGTTTGTTGAGCAAAAAAAAACCCAACAACAGCATGTCTCCACTTGGCTCCCTGGCATTTGTCTCTCCTTCACCCTGCCTCTTGGTGTCTTCCCCTTTCTCCTGACCTGCCCCCCTCCCCTCAGCACAAGCCCTTTCCCCTCCCCTACCTGGCTTCTGCCTTTTTGAATCTGGCAGTTGCTGGCCATGACCTCACGATGTTACGCCAGCGTCCTGGCATCTGCCGGCATCCCGCCCTTTGGCTCACGCCCCGCCTCCTCGCGCCGGAGCTGCACGCAGGCAGCCCGCACTTCCCCCTTCCCGGCAGCACTCCGCTCCTCCGGCCGGCTGGCAGATCGGATGGAGCCGGGCCGCCTGTAGTTGTCACGGGCCGCACAGTGAGCCTCTGCGGGCCTCATGTCGCCCTCAGGCCGTATGTTGTACAGGCCTGAGCCAAGAGCATAATTAAAAAATAAAAAAGCCGGAGTCTTGCTTTAGAGACTTGAATGACGGTGAATGCGCCATGCGCATTCTCCAATGGGAGCCACCCTCCCTGTTTAGTAAGAAGGAACACTTCTGTTTTAGTCCGGATTTGTTTTAGCTTCAGCTTCCAACCCTTGGTTCATCTTCTGGATTTTTCTGCTCAACCGGAGCTGGTTGCTTTCTGAACTCTCTTCCCCACGTAGGTATTAACAGATCATAATCACGTCCCTTCTTGACCATCTTTTGGTTAAACCAAATAGATCGCACTCCTGTAGCTTGTGCCTACAGCTATCCCGTAAATCTCTAAAGGGCTTTTGTAATTTGGGTGCAGAACGCTGTGTTAATATTAAATCATATTGGAACTCTGGCTCGGCTTATTTTTACCTGTGTTTGAAATGCAAAGAAAAATCTTTTAAATTAAAAAATGGGCGGTGAAGAAAAGTCTGAAACTTAACATGATAATTTGGGGACTTAAAGGGGGTGGGGTTGGGATCCCATTGCATATGGAGGAGGGTGACTGCTCTAGATGTCATGTTGCCGGTAATATATCCCTCCACTGCTTCTATTGAATTCAATGCTCAGGATCTGGTTCAATGTGACTGTTAAATGTTAACTCTCTCTATTATATAATCTATAGGCGCCGCTGTATAATTAGCTAGAGGAAGACCCCAGTGGAGATGGATTTTTAGCTACTTGGTTATGCAGCTGAGTTAACGTGGTGGCCTATTAAATGGGATTCACCATGGCTAGTGCCAGCAGACACACGCTAATTCAGTTGGTAGCCTGATACTTAATCAAGTTGTCTGCAGTTATTAAAGCAATTGCCTCTTGCTGTTTGCCTGCAGCTGTTCGATCACATTGTCCACTGCATTTCTGACTTCCTGGAATACATGGGAATGAAGGGCGTGTCGCTTCCTCTGGGATTCACCTTCTCTTTTCCTTGCCAACAGAATAACCTTGATGAGGTAACCTATCCCCAGCTCCCTACTGTCTGTACCTACTAACTGTGTTACTGCACTGTTCAGAATGGAGGGAAGGGTTAGAAGATCACACCCCGATCTTCAAACTTCCTGCCTCGCTTGTGAGTCTGTGGACACTTCTAGACATTTCTCCTTATTGTGGCCTTACCTGACCTGAAACCTTGCTAATTTCCTAACTTCTTTCCATCCGATTGTAGTTCCCCCTTCCGTTGTCCTTCAAAGCACACGGTTGGCAGAACAGTTCTGCTCTGAGATGGACCATCGTTAGCTTTCTCCTTAGTTACTTTCTGGACTTCTTAGTCTGATCAAAACCCTCATGTAGCACTTTCAAGACTAACAAGATGGTTTATTAGGTGATGAGCTTTCGTGAGTATGATCTGAAGAAGTGGGTCTGCCCCACAAAAGTTCATCATCTAATAAACCATCTTGTTAGTCTTGAAAGTGCTACACGACTGTTTTTCTTTGTTTTACCAAGATCAGACTAACACGGCTACCTCTCTGTTACTTTTATCAAAACCCTCCATGTGCCTTTCTGGTCTCTCTCATCTCATCTTCTGTATCCCACCAACCAGGGGCTAACTCCCTTCTGAGGATAGCGGCCCAGGGATGTCTTTCTCAACATCTGCTCTCTTTCTCCTCGTTTCCGTCCCTTCCAGTTGTTCTCCATGGAGGGATGCCCTGAGACTTACACTCTCCTCTGTATTGGTTTTTAAATGTTGTTGTGTTACTGTGTTCTTTTTCATTCATTCTACCCACAAACAGTGCTGATAAAGATAAAGGAGAGGTACCTGCCCAAGGAGCGTCGTGTTCTTTTTCATTCATCCTACCCACAAACAGTGCTGGGCACATCACAAAGATAAAGGAGAGGTACCTGCCCAAGGAGCGTAGGATCTAAATATAGATAAAGAAGGTGCAACACAAGATTATTCCCTGGCTCTCCTTTGTTTCCTCTCACGGACTGGGATGCAAGTGGCCAGACCTAGCGGTCAAAGCAGCATCAGGTCTAGTGGTTGGCGCAGGATCAGAGGGGGGATGGCAGAGCTGGGATCCAAGCTATGGGTCGGAGCTGGAGTCATTAGCTTGCACTGAGGGAGCAGAAGCAGAGAAGTGGAAGAAAGCAGGAAGACAAGGCCTGATGTAGCAGCCAGCCATGGATTCACCGAGTTGCTCGGAAAACTTCCTGTACCTCCTTTGGCTTAAATTATAAGTCTGAGCCAGCCAGATGTGTCCTCCAATCCACAGTGGCAGGGTGGTGCCTCTTGTGAGCTCGGGTCCATCAGCTCGTGCGCCCAGCTGGAGTTTTTTGTCTTCTTAACATTTCTCCTTCTGTCTGTCCACTTGTCGCTTTAAGGTCATTTTTCACCCTTCCCTACCAAGAATTTTGCATTTTCCCCACCTCCCCACTGCCCAGAACCCTTTCCTTTTTAAACTTCACCTGAAAACCTTCCTTTCTCGCGTCTTAATTGTCCCTGTAAACCCCATTGTAGAGGCTGGGTGTGTAGGAAGATTGATTGGTACTTGGTTTGTTCTAGGGATGTGACTGGTTAACCAATTAACCGGTTAACTGGTAAGCCTCACCTTGAATGGGTGCCAGACATTTGTGAGAGGGAGAGGGGTTGTACAGAACAGGATAGTTGGGGTGATCCACCTCATCTTTCCCTCCTGGCTTCTGGCAGTCAGAGGGTTAGTGTCACCCCAAGCCTGGGCTTCTTGGCTTAATAGGTTTACTCTCAAAATTGGGCCTTTTAACTCACCACCACCAGGGCACCTAAAATTACTACCTGCTCTGAAATCTTGACCAGAGTTCCCTTGAGCTGTCTATGTGAACTGATGTAGCCACAAAGGGTGCTCTTCCCAGATCTGAAGTTCTTGTAAGTCTTTGTTGGCTACTAACTCTTCCGCATGCTCTTCCCCTCTGGTTTATTGTGTGTCTGGTTCTCTTTTCAAGGGGATCCTCCTGAAGTGGACGAAAGGGTTCAAAGCCACTGGCTGTGAAGGAGAAGATGTGGTGAATCTGCTGAAAGAAGCTATCCACAGGAGAGAGGTGATTCTAGGACACTGCTCTGAGCGATTTAGGACAGGAATGAAATGGAGAATTTGTGCCGAGTCGCTCAGCTCTCCCAGATCCATTGGGAGTTCTCACCTTAGCGAGGAAGGAAATGGAGCTGTTTGAGCGCAGGGTCAGCGAGTGGCTAAATGAGCGTCGTATCTTAGTTCTCACCAAGGTTTGGCCTCGGGACCTCCAGAGCCAAGAGCTACAGCTCGAGCTGTCACAGTAAGTCCCCTACCTGGCAGCTCCCGCGGATTCCAGGGCGCTTAATGAGCCCTGCAAAAGGGCATTAGGTAAACTTAGAGCTACAGGTGCTATCAGTCCAGTTTCAACCTGCCAATGTAAATGTGCCGAGTTACAGGCAGTTTTACCTTATTTGGGGTAGTTTGGACAAAGCCCAGCTTTGTAATGTGCTTGGATCTTCAGCCAAACAGTCCCAAGCACTAGAGTTGGACCTCCCTCGTCCGACACTCTCGTGGCCTGCCCAGTCCCGAACGAGGGGAGGGCAGCGCCAGCCCCTTTACAGTCGTTGTCTGGGCTCCCTGGGGGGCTCCACTGTTGGTCCCAGCCTCTGGGCCCCGGCCCCATTCCTGGCTGCTAGCCGCTCTGCCGCTGGACTCCCAACTAGGCCCTGCTCCCTCCCGGCTCTTGGGACTCTCTGGTCCAGTAACATCCATAATCCTGCCAGACCACAGATGATACCGGACCAGAGAGGTGCAACTGTATCGCCATCCAAGGGAAGTCTACACTGTGCGCGGATGATATCTGATCAGAGAGGTGCAACTGTATCGCCATCCAAGGGAAGTCTACACTGTGCGGGTGGAGACATGCTTGCAAGTCTCCGCTCAGTCACAAGGCTAAACTCAGCGCTGAGATGTTCCCAATCAGGCTGGAGCCCGAGCCCAAGTTAGCTGGCATGGACTGGCCACGTGTGTCCCACTGCAGTGTAGACAGGCCCTCAGCTGCTTAAACTCCAGTAACGGGGGCAGTGCAAAACTTGGAGAGGGAGGCTTCAAAAAGCCAGGCCCTTTCTACTGGGCCTCATTCCAGTGGGGGCTGTTCCCCCGAATGAAACAGGCGCTGGCTGTCCCAGTGTAATGCAGGGTAGCCCTTCCCTCCCCAGGAGTTCGATCTGGACGTGGTCGCCGTGGTCAATGACACAGTCGGCACCATGATGACCTGTGGTTATGAAGATCCTTACTGTGAAGTCGGGCTCATAGTGGGTAAGAACTGAAACTTTATATAACAAACAAATCTCTCCTCTGTACCCAGCTCCTATTCTGTTCCCCACTCATGCCCTGCCCTGCTGCAAGGTTGTGGACAAATTGGACAAAGCCCAGTGACAATGATTCTGGGGCTGGAACACACGACCGATGAGGAGAGGCTGAGGGATTTGGGCTTGTTTAGTCTGCAGAGGAGAAGAGTGAGGGGGGATTTGATACCAGCCTGACGTGGGCGATGGAGAGAGGCTGTTCTCAGTGGTGGCGGATGGCAGAATAAGAGCAATGGGCTCAAGTTGCAGTGGGGGAGGTCTTGTTGGATATTAGGGAAATAGTTTTTCCTAGGAGGGTGGGGAAGCTCTCGGACGGGTTCCCTAGGGAGGGAATCTCCAACCCTAGAGATTTTTAAAGTCCGGGCTTGACAGAGCCCTGGCTGGGATGATTGAGTTGGGGTTGGTCCTGCTTTGGGCAGGAGGTTGGACTTGATGACTCCTGAGGTCTCTTCCAGCCCCAATTTTCTATGCTTCTGCGATCTTCTAGCTCTTCCCCAGGAGGTCTAGTGCACATTAGAATTTTCCACCAATAGTTTGAAAAATGTTAAAAATACTTGACGTTTGAGTGAAAAGGGCCAGAAATCTTTTGCCTCTCCTCCCCCACCAACTTAATTTCCTTGAGTATTTGGGGCCAAATTCAGACCTAGCATAAACAGATGTGACTTGGTTACCTTCAGTGGGAAAGGCTGCTGGAAATGGTAAAGAATTCTCCTGTGGAATATTTAGGTTTTGTGGGTAGTGTTTGGACAGGCCTAAGGCTGCCATCTGGGTGACCTTCCTGCTTTGTTTGTGGATGGCTCACATAACGCTCCTGGCTTTCTCCCAAGTTTTCACCTCGAGAGGACAGCCATTGTGTAGGCCGTGCTGGAGAGATAGTAGACCCCTGTGTTGCATGTAGTATGAAGACGGTAAAATGTGCTTGACGGGGTTGCATCTGAATAATAGTAAAATCCCCAAATTTTGTTATCCACTTTCCATCAAAGAAACTTCTTCATTTAGCACATCTGAGCTTGTACCGGGTTGTGATCCACCGGGCTCGTTTGGTTGATTTCAGTGGAATTGTGTCAGCAGAATACTTGGTCTTCAGCAGAGCGTGAACTGGAATTTCCTGCAGTTTTAAAATTTTGTTCTGCATTGGAACAAAACATCAAATTTCCTTGGAACAAAAACTTTGTAGAAAAATTGCTCACGGGCCCATTGAAACAGCTTTTTCTTTCGATTTCATCCCCCCACTGGCTAATACAGAATCAATTCAGAAAAGAAACCAAAATGCTCTATTCAAAAAATGTCAAATGAGAAATTGTTTCCATTTTCTCAGCAAAATGTTGTAAAAAATGACACGACCCCTGGAAAATGTAGGGTTGGCCAGAGTGGTTTCTAGCAAGCTGTAGCATATAGCAGGTAAGATCCTAGATAGTAATAGATGGGTTTCTGCACACTGCAGACATCACAGCTATCTGCTAAACCAGGCGGTTAGCATCTGGAGTCAGTAGGTCTTTCCCCTGCGTGAGCCAAATGGGTCTCTATTAACCGCCAGTAGTAGCTTAGCTCTTGCCTTCTGCATTTTTTTTTCTTTTTCCTCCATTACCTCCAAAGTAGTAGATGTTTCATGAGCCCTTAGACCAGGGCTACTCAACTTTGGAAGCCCCGGGGGCCACGATGATACTGTCAGTGCATGTCGAAGGCCACAACTTAAGTGTGGTTGCATAGACATGCAAATATATATGCAAATAGCTTCTTTCACTCTGATGGGCATAAATACAAAGATTAAGGCAAGACTACACAACACGCAGGCCCTATTGAAGTCAGTTCTGCTGCTATTAATACAATGCAGCATTTACCCCATTTCCACCCATATGATAGCACTTTAATGAGCAATGACAGTCCAGGAATTTAACTACTGGAATGCATCTCAACAGAAGACCGTTTATATCGACTGGTTTTTTGCTTTGGCTCCCACCCACGGGCTGCAAACAAATGGGCCGCGTGTCGAGTAGCCCCGCCTTAGACCTTTCTGTGCTCTTACGTCACAGGCACAGGCAGCAACGCCTGCTACATGGAGGAGATGAGGAACGTGGAGCTGGTGGAGGGTGAAGAGGGCAGAATGTGCATTAACATGGAGTGGGGGGCATTCGGGGACAGCGGCTGCTTGGACGATATCCGGACCGAGTTCGATGTGGCGGTGGACGAGCTGTCTCTCAACTCTGGGAAGCAAAGGTGCGTGTGCGGGGCGTTGAAGAGAAGACCTGGCATGAAGGGATCCCCCTAGCTCATCCTGGGCTGCGCACCAGGGGCTGGGAGGTGTCCCATTCACTTCATTACATGGTACCTGAGCATCTGGAAGGCTCCCCCCGCCGTTTTCTGACCATCATCTCTGCAGAACAGAGAGTGAACCAAGGCCTGGAGCTTGGGATGGCGGTTTGGAGACTTAGCGCTAAAGGAACGTTCCTAAGGGCTTGTCCCTGCTGACACCGGATGGGAGGGAGGGGGTGCCAAGGCCAAGCCCTGGGTGCATCATGTTCCTTTCTCATCTCTGCGTGCCTGCTTCCCACCTGCAGCATGCACAGCTGGACTGGGACGGTGTCGGGGTGAATGCAGTGAGCCCCCTTTCACTGCCCCCCTAGGGCCAATCGGGAGTGACTTCGCACCATTCGCACTGATTTGCCCTCTTGTTAAGTGGCAGGCAAATCCTGCCCATTGTGTCGTGATCCTTGGGAAGCAGGTGCAAAAGTATTTTAAAGGGCAGCTTAGAATTCCTCTGCAGCCCCCCTCCTAGAACCAGGCGGCTAATGCTCCAGCGGAGAAGAGGCCTTTCATGCACCTCTTCTTAGTGCTGGGGGGGAGGGCTTCTCCTACTAAGCACCCTTGAAGTGTTCATCAGAGGATGCAGATACCAGAGCCTGGCCTCACGTGACAACCCCAAAGCGCCCCATTTTAAGCAGCTTCGTACTTAGCTACTGCAGCAATGAAGGGCCTCACGACTGTAAGTGGGTTTATCCTCTCAGTACCCTGCGAGGTAGGGAAGGATCGTTATCTTCATTGTATGGGGGGGAAACTGAGGCAGGGGGGACAAGTCAGTGATTTGACTGAGCTCTGCAGCAGAGCTTGGCATGGAACCCAGGTGTCCAGCGTCCTGGCCCTTTGCCTGGTCTGTCCTTCCTACCCCACGCTGAGAGGTGCCATTTCGCTTCCAGGTTTGAGAAAATGATCAGCGGGATGTACCTCGGGGAGATTGTCCGGAACATCCTGATCAACTTCACCAAGCGGGGCCTGCTCTTCCGGGGGCGGATCTCCGAAAGGCTGAAGACCAGGGGGATATTCGAGACAAAGTTCCTGTCTCAGATTGAGAGGTGAGGCCACAAAGGCGAAAGGGAGGGGTGGGAAAGAAACGGAACATGGATGCAGGAAGATGCTTGTCCCTTTCCTACAGGTGGGTTAGGGTGAATTGGAGAAAGTACCTAATGACATTTAAGCAGAGTCTTGAGTATGGGGGAAGGGTGGAATACATCATTTTTTGTTCACCGATCATTCAAAAATACCGGCACGTTTTTAAAAATTTATTTTAGTGCATGTATTTATTTGTTAGCAAATTGGACAAAAAAATTGCTGTGTGTTTCTTTGCCCCCCAAAGTTTCATTTTACCTGAAACTGAACTTTTTAAATTTGAATTCAAGCCTTTTTGAATTTTAAGACCTTTTGAAAACTGATCTTTGTGAAATGAGCTGGTGAAATGGTTTGGTTTCACAAAATCTGGATTCTGCCGCCTCCTTCACCCCTCCCCCAACACACGAAAATAGCCTGACACACACACACACGTTGCCCAGTTATGGTTTTAAGCTTTCAGCAGCTTGCTGGATCTTCCTGGGTCCTACCTCCCCTCAGCCCGCAGGGTGACCTTACAGAACAATCTCACACTGAGGGTTTTCATGCTGCATCAAAACCAGTCAATGGACAGCAGTGACTGTTCATCCCATATATATATATATATTTACTATCCCATACCTGATGGTTTCTTCCAGAAACCTCTTGCACTCTTGTGTTCCAGTTTGTTGTGTGGTTGCTTAGGGATGCTGCCTTGCACACCCTGCTTGGCTACAATGTTGACCTTTAATTGTTGTGGTTTTTTAAAAACTGTTAACCATTAAAGCATTTGAGGAAGGTAAAACTCCCCAAGAGATTCTGCAACTCCCAAAAATCTTCAGTGTCCTCAGGAGTGACAACTGGATCAAATGAAGTCAGTGGATTTTCATCAGCGTCTCATTTGGTCCAGAATCCTTACCCATCCTTAGGTGCACAGATGAGTTCTGTATAAATAACAAGATAGGTTGACTCCCAAGACTCTGGCTTTGATGCTGTTCCTCTGCATAACCAGCGATAACCAGCCTGCAGGCTGGACACGGTTCACCTGGGCGAGCCACTGCTGCTTATTTACCTGCGCACCCACAGGTACGGGCGTTTGCAACACCCATTGGCTGTGGATCACCCATCCCGGCCAATGGGAGTTGTGGAAAGGGCTGCGGACTGGGACACCATTTCCCACAGCTCCCATTGGATGGGAATGGTGATCCGCAGCCAATGGGAGCTGGCAACACAGGTAAATGCAGCGATAGCGGCCCACGAGGGGCTAAGCCACCACCATCTTACCCCTGCTCTCCATGTAAACTCATGAGAGACAAGGGAATGGCCTGGCTTTTTTGGGTGAGTGCTTTATTCCCGCAGCTCTCGCTATTAACTGTTAAATGTGCACATTCCTCGTGCACTCGTAACCGGTGGCTTTATGATGAATTCACCGCTCGGATAAGGCTGCAAACTTGGCTCGCCGTAGGAAGCTCTGCTGTGAGGAGAAACGGGGGTTTTCAAAGCTGCCAAAGGGATTTAGGTACCAAGAGCCCATTAAAATCCAGTGGGAATGGTGTGTCAATTTTCCTTCATACCTTTTGGCTCTCCTAGCGTACTTGAAATGCAGCCCCTTTATGACTGACTAGATCAGGGCTACTCCACTTTGGAAGCCCCGGGGGCTACAATGATACTCACAGCACATGCCAAGGGCCGCAACTTAAGTGTGGCTGCACATACATGCAAATATATGCACATAGCTTCTTTCACACTGACAGGCATGATACAAAGCACTTCCCACAATGCCCCGGCCCTCCTGGCACCTCCTCCCTGGGAGCTAGAAACACCAACACCCTGTACCCGACTGTTCCAGCCAGCCCATTCGCTTGCATCTTTCAGTGCCCACCCCGCCATTGTGGGGCATGTTCCCAGTGGAGGCCATGTTCAAAGGATAACACCTGCAGGCCGTGTGTTGAACCCGGTATAAATCTAACCTGCACCGTGGGCCACAAACAAACAGGCCTTGGGCTGTGTAGCCCTGGAATAGATCTACCTCTGGGTAGCCAGTCAGCGCCGCTGATCTTAGTGACCAGTAGAAGTGTTAAGTTTGAAAGGCACTTAGGGGGCTCTTGAAAGTTAGACCAACTCCTAGGTCTCTTGGGCATCGCAACATGGGGAGATGCAATCAGTTACGCCCCCTGCAAGCAGTGGGTTGCGCAGAAGGCAGGATCTGGCCTGCAGAAGCTTTTATTACGGGGATGGTGCACGGGAAGGAACAGATCCAGCTTGTCTCTCGAAGCCCAGATGAGAACTACACCTCCAAGGATACCCTATGTCCAGACTGGCCGTGCGTCCGGACGCTGCCCGCGGGGTTTCTGTAGGTTTCTCTCACTTCTGTCCTGCCCTGTCTGTCTCCTCCAGCGATTGCCTTGCCCTGCTCCAGGTCCGCTCCATCCTCCAGCACCTGGGCCTGGAGAGCACCTGTGACGACAGCATCATTGTGAAAGAGGTGTGCACTGTGGTAGCCCGGCGTGCCGCTCAGCTCTGCGGCGCTGGCATGGCAGCCGTGGTGGATAAGATCCGGGACAACCGCAAGCTGGACTTCCTGAAGGTCACCGTTGGTGTGGACGGGACACTCTACAAATTGCACCCTCAGTAAGTGCCCTCGTGTGGGAGTCAGAGATTGCTCAGTGGGCTGTTGGCAGAGATCACAGGCAAGCTGCAAAAGCAGAGATCACAACCAGGGTGGCCTGAAAACTTTTCACCTTCCTTTGGATAATCCGCAAGTATTCGTATCCTTCCGTATTTTTTTTTTCCTCCATGGAAACAAAGAAATTGTTTCACATTGAGATGAAGGAAAAAAGTTCACTTGTTTGGGGTCTGGTTTTTTTTTTTACCCCTTTCTCTTTCCCAGGGAACTGAAAAAGGGGGGTGAGTAGAAGTGAAAAATGAGTACAGTGATTCCTCATTTACCACTATAGATCTGTTTCAAAAAATGATTGTGTTAAGTGAAAACGTGTTATGCGGGGTCAATTTTCCCATTGAAAATAATGGAAAAGTTGGGGGTTGCGTTTCAAGCAGTGGTGTCTGTTGAGACCGGGACATAAGGTTGTGGGAAAAAGGGGACTGGGTTACAGCAGGGAGGGGAGGTGTTTGGCTCTGGGGAAGGGAAGGAGAGAAGAGGGGAGGGGGATTGGGTTGGGAGTTTTCCCCTTTGACGGGTTTGCCGGGACCCGCACTGCATCCGGCGAGGGGGGGTTGCCTGGGAATGGTGTGGCGAGTGGCGAACCCTCCACCACTTTGCAGGGAGGCGGAAGAAGCCCTGCGCAGCCACCGGCAACGGGCCGGCTGGGGGAATTGTGTTATTCTGGTTCCTTAACACGTTTTCGCAATAGCATGATTTTTTTTAAGTGGGCATGTGTTAAATGAGGAATTACTGTATCGAAACCAATTATTTTATTCTGATCAAACATTTTGTCAGAAGTCCATTGAGATTTTTGGTTCTAAATCTTTTGCCAAAAACATGGGGCCATTTTTTAACCAGCCCAAAAGCAGTCGAAGAAATGAATAGGCCAAAGCGGGAAGAAAAAAGTTCCAGTCCAGTAGGTGTTGGAATATGTTCTGTAGGAAGGGGTGGAACCTCCCTTGTCTCAGTCACTTAGCACAGAGCTGGGAGACACACTTGAGAGTAGGGGTGTAAAAGCGTCACCGGTTAATCGATAAGTTGCTGCTCATCGGTTACCAGCACCGGTTACATTCTTCACAGGACTGCTGGGAGCCCTGGCAGTGCTGCAGGAAGCCGCGGTTAACCATCTAACCAATAGAAATTCCACCAGTTACGCGGTGAATAGTTTTGTTTGGATTTTTAAATCCCTGCTTGAGAGACCCTGAGACTTGAAGTTCCATGGCATTCGTTTGTGTCTACCTGCAGTGTTCTGTCTGCATTTGCATTCCTAATTGGATCACTGCCGGGTTCAGGAAGCATTTTCCCCACTGCCCCGGGCTGGGTTATGCAGCCAGCACGGTTGTGTGTTAGATCGGCTCTGAGGATGCCATTTTGGAAAGTTCAGAGTTTCAGTCTCCCCAGAGTCAGGGAAGAAGGGAATTTTACCCCATTGGTCCATCACACCGGAAACTCATTGAGCTAAACCCGGCCTGCTCAGCTACCAACCCTGGGGATGTAGTGAAAGGGGTACGGAGGCCAGTGATGCCGCTGCTATATGACCCCATTAGGTTAGTTGCGTTCATGAAGAGTAGGTACCAACTGCGATAGCCCTGAGACTACGTTAGTCCC